CGCGTGCCTGCTACTCTATTCATTGGCTGCATCCAGTATCGTAGCATCATTGATCCATATATGCTTGATTGAGTGGTTCGACAACTTGGATACGTCCAGGGCATTCCGCAAGCCATCATCAGGCCTGAGAAGGCGAAGAGACCGAGGAACTTGAAGATGTATTGAGTAGACTTTCCGCTAGAGATGACATCTGTGATGTGGACTCGGTTTGTCCCAGGTGCCCTCAGCAGGCTTGGTGGTGGTGCTCCTACGGTCGGTCCTGGTTACATGCAGTGGCTGTACCGATTTTCTCATCCTCGTGTTTCTCCAGTTGCGTCATCCCATGGGAGTTGCGCACTGCCAGAGAGAACTAACATGGATTACGTAAGTACTTGTGTTTTTTGGTACTATAATTATCACTACAAATACATCTAATTTGTTTAATATGTTGTTTTTTTATTGCAGTGGATGGGTCGGTCCATGGAGGTTATCAACAGGACACCGGAGGAGTATCCGAGCTTGTCGCGTGATACGAGAGCAATGGCTGAGGCGCTACGAGCTGATTGGAGGGCGATGATGGGGTTGTGACTTCCCTGTTTATTAGTTTTTTTTGAGTTGTACGCATTTCGTTTATTTACTCTACATTCGGCATGTATTTTAAGAATAGGACTATTGTTTTTGTGTGGTTTTAGTTGAAACTTTGTTTAATTCAGAATTTTTATTTACACTTTACATATTTACACTTTACATATCTACAACTGTTCACAATAAATGAATGTACATAAATGCGTTCATTATCTAATTAACGCATCCCACATGTTCCTTCTAGCTGCATAACGCTGATCCCAATCGTCAACACTTGGCTCGTGGTTCTCGAGCGTCATACCATCGTCCTTGATCACCGAAGAAGAACTCGGCCACACAACGAAAGTCGCAGTTACCATCGCCGATGACATCCTTCCATCCGGTAACGTAAGGCAACATCGGTCTTGGAAGCATGTGTCAATAACGGCTTTGGCTAATGTCGTATGGATCTTCAGCACAAATTTAGGGTTTAGTTATTAGTACAGTAAATAATGAAATACGTGAAAATCACAATAGTCAATCTTACCTGTTTGACGTGTACCACGTGTAGTGTTCTGGCTGTTCACATGTTCAAATAACAAGGATCACGTCTTGTATCATTGTTTCTTCGTCGACCACGAACCTGGTGGTTTACAGCAGGATCTCCGAGGTCAGAATGATCCGGATGCAGTTCTTCTTCAATGATGCGAGATACGTTTCGAAGAACAGCAGGATCACTACCGATTACCTCATCCATCAGAGAACAAAAATGTGCGGCGTCCTCGGCCGAGTCATTACCGAACACCAGTCCATCATCACCGTCACCGATAACCAAGGTCTTCCAGAAAGGGTGAATTTGCCTGATATACAAGCCTATCCCTGCAGCTAGAGAGTCATGTATCTGGCAAGCACAGGGCAAACCGTGGGTCACACGCATTGCACATCCACATCGCTCATACACCTGATAGCTCAGCTCCTTCATCCTTTTCGTCTTAACTTTGAGAACCTTCAAACAATGCTAAGACACCTTGCCGTTAATACGTGACCGTGGCAATTGTCGGTACTTCTGACCTATCTTCGACCTAGAAGCCTCCAAACCGTTACGAATTGCGATGATCTGATTACCAATGTGGCAATGAACTCGGGCTCATACGGTATCCAAAGAACCTGCACATTGCAAAAAAACTTGCCCACCGATCTTTCATTGTATCTACAGCAACATCATAATCCTCCTCGGTTGCAGCATCCATGATACGTTTCCATTTCCCATTTTTGAATTGCGCACCGATCTTCTTGTTTTTGAACATAGTAATGACCCGAGCCTCCACATCTTTGTTAATGTGCCATCGACAAAGTAAGTGCGGGGTCCCTGGAAACACTTCCCTCATGGCTGCACATAGCCTAAGCTCACGGTCTAACAAGAGAACCGACGATTCCTTATTATACCCAATCAAGTCTCTCAATCTCTGCAACACCCATCGATAGCTTGCTGTGCACTCGTTGCGCATGAACACGTAAGCAACGAGGAAATTCTGATTTGTCAGTGTCACACCAACTATCTCAAAGAACGGCATCCCGTATCGGTTGGTCTTGTAAGTGGAATCCATACCGATCACATATGGGTACGTCAGAAAGATTTCTACCGTGACTGGGTGCGCCATAAAGGCGTGCTATAAAACGCCTTCATCATCAAACATGACCAAGTAAAGATACTGAATCTGTCTCGCCAAATGTAGAAATTGCTGAACAACTCCTCTCCCGTCAGACATTTCCGATCTCAAGTCATTCCGGCAGTTGTAGATGTGTCCGATGTTTGGATGATCATCAGGAAATAGCTTGACAATAGTCGCCATGATGATACGCGGTGCAACCTTAGACTTCGTCATGTTACGCACAACCTGCTTCGCATCCGGGCTCAACCCACTAATTTTACGATGTCCCTCTAGATGCACAATCATTGGATGGTTGTGGGTCCCAGTTTCATCATTTTTCGCCCGGATAATCCAACTGTCGGTGATGAACTCGTAGTATATCTTGATGTAGAAAGGACAACCATTGGCTTTGGTTTTTGCGTCCTTCCGAATTGCGTTCTCAAGATCTCTCGGCTTACTCCTGCGTCCCCGATCACATCTCAAATACCGATATGGTCGACTATCTCTGGTTTTGTTGAAAGACGATTTCACCAGAATAAATCCCAGATTTATGGCAACAACATCCGCCCATTTAACTGCATCCTCAAACGTTCGAAAAACCGTGTCTGTCACAAAATTTGCACTGGAATTCACAACGTAACCGCCTCCTTCAACCTCGGAATCCAATAAACATACATGACAAACACAAAAAACACGCCAAGCTTAGTATTTTAAGAATAATAATAATAATAATAATAATAATAATAATAATAACAATAATAATAATTATAACAACAACAATAATAATAATAATAATAATAATAATAATAATAATATAATAATAATAATAATAATAATAATAACAACAAAAACAATAATAACAATAACAATAATATTAATAGTAATAGTAATAATAAGAATAATAAGAATAATAATAATAATAATAATCGTAACAACAACAACAATAACAATAATCATAATAATTTTACAATAATACCAAAAAGAACAACAACAATAATCATAATAATAACAACAACAACAACAATAATAATAATAATAATCATAATATTAATAATAACCATGAAAATTATAATAATAATAATAATAATAATAATAATAATAATAATAATAATAACGTACAATAAGCAAAAAAAAAAAAAAGGACATTCGCCCAATTTTTCCGGAATTATGAAGGAGGATCCGCCTGAAATTTCCGGATCCTCCAAAGGAGATCCGGAAATTCTAGGCAGAAGTATACATCCGCCTAGAATTTCCGGATCTCCTGTGGAGGATCCAGAAATTTCAGGCGGATCCTCCTTAATATTTCCGGAAATATTGGGCGGATGTCCACTTCACAAAAAAAAAAAAATTACAGCGACATATAAATTCTTCCGACGAAGCCTCCGATATACGATCGTCGCCGTCGTTCATCGTACAAGTCCAATCGCTACACCTTGCTTATTTTTTTCCGGTAAACAGTTTAAGATTTTTGGTGGTGAGCTCGGGATTTTTGGGGGCGCGTGATTTTTTAAATCCAAGTGGTGGGCTCGGGATTTTTTTAAGGCAAGTGGTGGGCTCGGGATTTTTTATGCCAAGTGACAGTGTGGTGGAGCCATATATAGGCCAAATTCACATAAGGGCAAAAAGGTCATTTCCTCCTAAAATGGAAGCGTCATCCTGTAAATTGGGAACGACGAATAGCAGTTCACATACAAAAATCTCGTTCAAAAAGGGGCGGGTCAGCATCAATATTTGAAGAAAAAAATTAAGCGGGTTTTTTTTCTAATTTTTGATTGTCGTTAATGTTGATTGCATTTGAAAAATTTCACCTAACCCTTTTAATACTTCTCACCCCTCCTCCTTTTTTTTTTTTTTTTTTTTTTTTTTAAAAAAAAAAAAAAAGAAAGAAAAAACCTTTGAAAAAACCCAATCAATGCCCACAAAATTTTCCCTACCTGCTGCTACCACCACTGATCCACCGTTAACCCCAGGCTCACCGCACGACGGTCGTACCTCCCTTCCCCTGTTTCTGTTATAAACCATGCTTGCAGAAACAAAAATAGTAAGAACAATATTACCGGGAACAAGGTTGAGTCGCGGACTATGTCGCTCTCTTTAGAACATTCACTGTACTGCCTATAAATTGTGCAAGCAGATCGTACCACACCGGATGTCCTCCAGGATGAACCAGTCTCTCGAAAATATAATGTAATATAATGTGACATATCGACGGTTTTGCACAGAACCACCGGACAACAAAACACCAAAAAAACAATAATATAAAACTGCTCGAAATCTTGTATATTAGCAGAAAAATAATATCGAGATTGTGTTGTTTTTCTCGAAAAATGGTGAAGCTAAAATTATCAAATATATGCAAGCAATATATTTAACATATTACGACATTTGAAGTGCCGATCAAAACAATTAAATAAGGCAACAATAAAGTTTGCCATTACTTTCAAAATTACTATCAATTAAAAACATCTAACGGTAGTTTTTAACAGCTAGCAATCAAGAGTCAAGATGGGCAAATACAAAATAGTAGCTAAATTAAGCTTGCAAACGGTTATATTTCAAGCTTGCTGCCCAAATTAAACCAGCAATTAAGGTATTAATTCAACGCAGCAAGTAAACGCAATATTACGTTTTGGAGTATTACTCCATAAAATTTGCTTTGTTAAATTAAAACGGTAAAACCAATTAAAGCAAATTAAAATGAGAATATTTTAACTGTCAAACAAGGATTGAAACGGTAATAAAATATTTTGAAAAAGACAGTTTTCAATATTAAGTTTTATACCAACCCCACACGGCTCGGCTATCATTGCCCATTAATGTGGGACTTTATTATTTTCACAAAATTCACACTAAAATATATTTTGTTACAACAGTTTCCTTCTCTCTCCTCCATTAGCTACCTCAAACCACCGTCCAGACTCAGCCAGTGATTGTCGCGGATCCATTCGAGATGTCGGCCTAGCCCAAGCCGCACAACCACCCTATAATTGTAAGTTGATTTCAATTTACTCTGTTATTGCTATCTATAGTATGACTTATACATGAATGAATTTCAATTAGATTTTTAAAGATTGATAATGATGAGTGTATCTATTTAACGTTTGTATAAAACTTGTTTATATTATACTACGTATATGATTTTTAGTTTCCTGATTATAAATTAACTTACTTTACAAAAAAGTCTGACGATATGAAATTTCATTCAAAAGTGACGAAATAGTTTTTTTTTTTTGTATAAATTCTTAATTTTTTTTTAAAAATATTGTGTCCTTTATTTAATTAGTGTAGTTGTCAGATACTTAGAATTCGTATGTGTTTCGATTCTAGTGACATTTCTAACAAATTTTGGATCATTAATTATGCTTGATATCTGTCCATTATCATGATTGTTATTGTTTTTTATTTTTATTTTTTTTTTTTTGACTAAGAATTTATGAATTCAACGTTTGACATTGAATCAATTAGTTTAGCGTTGCTGTGAAGATCTAGTTTATAATTTGGGATTTAAAGGCAAAAAATAAAAAGGAATGTATTAAATATTTTGGGATAAATTTGCTTTGTGTTGAGAATTAACAGTATAGAGGATTCATACCCTTTATTTTAACCATTCGTTAAGAATCATTTAACGGGCTTGTGTCAATGTCGGCTTTTCTAGGTAAATTTTTTTAGTGTCGTATGTCCAAAACTTTGAATTTTGTATTTATTTTAACTAACTTTTACAACAGAGCACTTGAAAAGAGCTCAAATGAGCTAGTAAAAAAAACTAATACCATATATATTCTTCAAACCCTTTTATTTTTATAGGTTTGTTATTCGATAATGGAAGCTAAATTGATACAAATAAATGTTGTATTGCTTGTTTTATTAGTGTGAAATGGAGGAGATTATCAATTGTCAAGCAGATTAAGAGAATTTATCTACAGGTAATTTATACTGACTTACTGATTGTCCTATGCATATTTGACAAATTATAAGTTTTAAAATGGAAGCTTATTTTAATATCTTGGTAATGGGTTTAGTAGAATTTTATGTTTAAATATATAATTGAATTAAAATTAATCATCCCTTCGCCACTTGTACATCCTTAGCTGCATTACATATAGTTTATTGTTGCTTCTTGTTTTATATATGGACTAGCTATATTGTAGAACTATCTACTCATTTTCTTACTCTTAAGAAGATCTTCCACTAAAAGATGCAATTACAAGCATAAAGTTATTATAGAGCATAGAGCTATTAGTCTGATCTATTATTATAATAGCCAAGGACTAAAGACAATTAAAAATGTATTATGTTAACTATAATTCTTGTACTTACCAATGTTATCATGGGTTTTGATTTCAGCAAAATTTAAAGTACACTTCATGGTGCATGAACTGTAATTTACCTTGGAAATGTGGTAGAAAATGAAAAATCATAACCAATGAAGTATAGAAATTGTCATTCTAAAATTTCCTAATATGAAGAACAGGAGGTAAGGCTCTGCATGCAACACAAATAAGTGAGTTACAAGACAAAGAGACTCACTTTTATATCTATATGATTGCAATTCTCACAAAGAAACCCCAATCTTTTTTGTTTCAGGAATGAAAGAGGAGCATTCAGAGATACAAAAATAGGAAAAGCATGATTCGACAAAAGTATTGGATTAGGTGTCTTTGAAGTTGAAGAGGAAACTATTGGTGGATTAAATTTTAATCATATTTGAAATTTTTTGCTAAGTAGAGAGCTCATAGATGGTACATTAGTATAGAGTAATTTGGCTTCATTTGATATTAAAATAAAGTCAGACTGGTTTAGCATTGTAATTCAAGTTCAAACCCTTTTGGTTCTTCTTGTATCGATTAGTCCTCTTGTACTAAGAATAGTGCAAATTTCAGATGTCATGTAATATTGTAATTGTTGGGTTTAAGAACACATCGAATTTAGTTACTAATTCAAATTTGTTATTATTATGATTTTTGTTTAATTTTTATTTATCTTGTATTTTGTAAATTAATTGAATATAATAGTTGTCTCAAACAATATTGGTAAATAAATTGGTTCTTGTTAAAATTATTTATTATTAACAAAGAAGTATTTGGTCGTTAATATTCTTAACAATTTTTTTTTTGAACCGTTGAATGTGTATTTTAAGAAGGAATATTTGGTCGTCATTGCCTACTAGTTCATTATTAATAGATTATGTATTACGAGTCCTTTACTGATTGTTAATGGTTAACGACAAAGTGATATGTCGTCGTCACTATCTAACGACGAACATTGTCATTAAAACCAATAACGAGGGAGCCTATTACATCGAACAAACGACGAAAAATTTTCGTCGTAAAAAGTTTTAACGACGATTTTTTGGACATTTAACGATGAAATAATTTGTCGTTAAAAACCCTTTTTCTAGTAGTGTTATGATTTCTATTATCATGTTTGGGATGTTATTTTGATTTCTAGTATCATGATTAGGATGTTGATTATGATTTCTAGTATTATGTTTAGGATAATGCTTTGATTTGATTATTAGTGACATGCTAGTATTTGTTATTAATCCGTTTAATATCATGTCTAGGATCTTACTAACGATGTTTTGATGATGTTCTTATGATGATGATTGCTATATTAATCCGGAAATATTTTTCACAACTAAAATCGAAAAGACGCTGCGAAAAATCGGAAAAAACATTGAAAATTGAAACTGCCGCAGAGCGTCAGATGTATCGTAGGATGTCAGAAACCAACGCCAGACGACAGCCTTATCGCGTTGCGATAGAGCTGTCTCGAAACGATGGTTCCTGCATATTTTTATTGGCTTTCTTATTTCTTTTTTTTTCTCTTATTGGACCCTCTTTTTTTTAGAGTCGAGTCATAGTTCCTTTTTTTATTCATTTTGAGTCAACTTGGATTTTTTATTCCCGTATACTGTACAAGCATAACTTTGTTTTGGTCATAGATAGAGCTTTAGAAAGAGTTATGTGCCGTGCCACCTAAGGATCTGTAGCCCCGGATTTTATCTTTCATTTGGCGTTGGTTTCGTCCAATTCGAATTCACAAATAAAAAGTTATGATTGAAACACTACAGCCTATCCAGTTTAGGAATTCTATCTTTAGTGTTGGAGGATAACTTTTTATTTATTTTTTATTTATTTATTTATTTATTTTTTTTATCTTTTTTGTGTCAATCTCGTTTATATTTGAGTCGTAACCAATCTTTTACTTCATTTAGAATTCTAAGTTATGTCACACTCTTATAAGATAGGTTTTTATATTTATTATCTTATTTTTCATCTCATGAGTCTTAACTCCCTTAGAAACCTATTCCATGTCAAACTCTTATAAGATAATTTTTTTTAAAATTCTACTCCTATTCTAATTGTGATATCTGAAGAGTCTTTTTTATTCCATAATCCTATCTTTCTATTATCTTTTTTCCACCCTTTAGAGTCGCACTCTAGTCCTTTTTTTTTTTATTTTTTTTTAATTCTATCATCTCATTTATTTTATCTCTCATTTCCTATCCATTTTATTTTTATGCGTTTTATTTTTATCCTTTGTGTCTTCGTCAAACCATGAGTCTACCTATCGTAGAATTCTAGTCCATCTTCCTAGTTTTTTGTGATTATTGTGCTAACTTTAACATGTATTCTTTGACTTTGATTGGGGTTGATATTGTCTTATTTATGACTAATGTTTGCCAATGGACTGCTTTCACCTAGTAAATAGCACAAACATTAAAATTGGACAAAATTAATCAAGTTAGTTTGTCTATTTTTTTAGTCTTCCGGCTATTTGGTCCTTGAGTCCTTCGTTTTTTCACACCGTTCTCATATCTAGTCATATGGTCATGACATGAGTCTTGTAAATATCATTTACACTCACAAGTCTTCACACACTTTGTACATACTTTTTTTTACACCATGACCATGTTTTAGGTCCATGCATGAGTCGTCCTTTCCGTCATTCGAGTTGAGGGTCCATCCTATTCCCGGATTTTTTCCATATCCTTCCACATTCACATACTTTCCTTAAACACATATACCCTTCTACATACTTTCCTTAAACACATATACCCTTCTACATATTTTGCTTCTACATCACTTTCCACATTCACTTACTTTCCCTGTACACACATACACCTTCTTACATACCTTCCTCCTACATGCTTTTCCCATGCATATCATTTATCACACACACTATGATCTTTCCTCATTTATGCATGTTGAATCGAGTTCGAGTAATGTGATCGACAATAAACATACATGGTTTCCTTTTCTACAACCTTTGGTCAAAGAAAACACAAAGCACGAGGCAAGGCAGGCTTCAACAATAAGATTTCATGATTCTTTTCTTATTTTTGTCTTCCCTTTCCCTCAATAAGTCTAGCATAGGCACTCTCCATCATCTTTCTTAGATTTATTTCATGAGTTTGTTTTTACCCCTTTCTGATTCAATAAAATGAGCATTTATTTCCTTGCATATGATCATTGCATTGCATTTCAAAAAAAAAAAAAAGAAAAAAAAAATCCTTGCTAAACTAAACACAAGGTATACCAATGATTTGAGGCACCTCTTGTAGCCTCGTCATATCACCTTAACTCTTTCAAATATACAAATCTTTCTTAATAAACCACTTTGAGCCTTGTATAATGATAAACCTTCACTTTTTCAACCCACATTACCTAATCTTCGGATGGGATGGTGTGCAACTTACGTAATTTTCAAAGCTAAAGCAAAAGCTTCAGTGATTTTTACCAAAGAAAATTCAAAAGTTCAAAAAGGAATAAAAGTGTGCAAAAGGGCAAGTGTTCCAATGTCTTTGAACCCTTTTTCTAGTAGTGTTATGATTTCTATTATCATGGTTAGGATGTTATTTTGATTTTCTACTATCAAGATTAGGATGTTGATTATGATTTCTAGTATCATGTTTAGGATAATGCTTTAATTTGATTATTAGTGACATGCTAGGGTTTGTTATTAATCTGTTTAGTATCATGTCTAGGATCTTACTAACGATGTTTTAATGATATTCTTATGATGATGATTTCTATATTAATCATATGCTACTTGATTATTTATGATTTGTTACTATTGCTTGATCATGCCCCTTTTTGCAGGTTTAAAGGGAATTGGTACTTGAAATCACGCCTAATAAGATAGTTAATATTTTGATTTAGGCTTAATATGATTTTAATTCAAGTGATCACCAATATTTGATTTAATTGTGCTTTAATAATCAACCAACGTAGATTGAACAGGTTTAGGATTAATTTGATGTATGTATGTTGATCGAAAAGCGCACATGAATATCGTAAGAATTAAGTAGAGGCCTGTTTAGGGCGGGTTCAATCTCTTTTAGGTTGGATTCATACCATCATCCCCGAACATCCAGTCATGGTTCTGGACCACTATGGAGTTAGCGATCTCCGTGATCGTGAATGGGGTGTATTCTTCACACTCGCGAATGGTTTACAAGTTCCTAAAACTTGTTGGCAAATCTTTTTCTCTAGCTTCTTTTCCTTGGAACGTCACCATGCTTAAAAGCATGCACCACAGTAGGGCTCAATAAGAGTTTTAAAAATTCCCTACATTACGTTATAGTTCATGAAGAGACATTAAGTGACATAGGAAAAGGGCAATACACATATAACACACTTGTCCGGAAGGACAAGTGGGGGGATTGAAAGGAATGGTGTCCTTCGAACAAGTGTATTACTTCGATAGAGGGTTCAGAATTAATTAGGAAAGCTAATTATTCAGTGAAGTTAAGTGATCGGAATGCCTAGTTGGAGGTCGCTTACGATTAGTAAGATTAATATAATTATAATAATCTTACAACTTGCTCCTGACTGAACCCTGCGGGTCACACCCTATCGTGTAACCGAACTATGGTGATGAATTAATCTGAAGTATTAAATACGTCGATAAGGATTTTACGAACTCAGACGTCGGATTCCGAGTTTAGAGCGTCGAATGCCAAGTCGATTCTAGGAATCGACGAGATAAGAAATAAATTCAAACAACATAAGTCAACACTCAAAGTCCTAGCCTCGCATTGTCCTAGCCATACGAGGGCTAGGCTAGGCTAGGCGGGCTGCCGCTGCATAGCACTGCTTGGCCAGAAGCCCAGCAAGCATCGCAAGGCTTAGTTGTGCGTGTGTTGGCTGAGCAGGTGCATGCGGGCTAGTAGCATGCCCTCGCTAGCAAGGCCAACAGCCAACAAGGCTCTCTGAGCCTCGCTAGGGATAGCAGCGCCCAGCGCACAACGACCCGCATTGCTGCGAGGCCTGCTTGTGTGTAGGGCTGAGCAAAACTATCTGAAAATCCGGTAATCCGATCCGCAATCGATCCGAAAATTATGGATAAACGATCCGAAAAAAATCGGATATCGAATATCAAAATATTAGATTTCGGATATCCGAACAAATCACTTACTTTGTTTTTCCGTAAAATGATTCAAAAACTCCTAGGCCCAATCCCAAACCCAAACCTAAACCTAAACCCTTATTTTATTCATTCCCTAAAAATGCAAAATTCCCCCCCCCCCACCGCCACTCTCTCTTTCTTTCTACTCTCCCCTCTCCCCCTCTCTCTTTCTCTCTCCTCTCCCACTCTCTCTTCTCTTTGTCCTCTCAGATCTCAAACTTTCAAAGACTCAAATCCCACTCTAGAAATCATCAAATCCCACACTGAATTTTTGTATAACAGTAATCATCTCCTCCGGTAGTGGCGACTTTCCTCCTTCTCATGGATGCTCGACCACAGCAGCTTATTAGCGGCGTCTCTCTCACTCTCAACAACTTAGGCTTTTTTTTATATTTGTAGGTTTATTAGATTCAAATTATATGACTAATTGTAGTTTATAATTACGAGTTTGATTATTCAGTCATGAATGTCAAGATACAGATGTAATGTATACAAGTTTCGTTTTTCTTGACGATTTTTTTTTCCAGTTTTGCCATTAAAC